TATATTTTTTTTTTTATTCTTTAAACTAGATTATAATGTTTGATTTGTTAACTTGCTGCTCTAATGCTTATCTATGATTGTACAAGAAATGTGTTAATGAAGAGTGCAGTGTATACATTTGTTAGGCTATGAGTGGCTAACTACATGAATTTAGAATAATGTATAGGTTGGAAATGGAATAATTACATACTGATTTCTAAACAGTTGTTCTAATTCAGTTTTAAAACTTAGCTGAACTTCAAATTGCCAACTGAGAAACGCAGTAAACGTACATCTGTAGGGAGTGTTTGCATTCTATGTTCATTTGAAATGGTGCAGAACTGGAAACAAAAGCTTGGATTGTCATTTGTTTTGCCTTACACACATTTAATCTTGAAAACATTATGCCCTCTCAGGGAATAGGTGTGAACTAAATTAACCATTTCCATCAGGATCTACCAAAAATGGCAACAATATATGAAGTAAAGAGTCAAGAATAGACCTAAAGAAATAAAATTCTCACCATCACTTCTGGATAATGTGTATACATTCCATAAAGATGATCGTATCCTATAGGACCTCATATTAGTTGTGTTGCTGTACAATAGCCGTTATTTATTAATGAATAAATAAATATGATTAATCTATATTTAATGATAATGAACTTCAATTAATGGTATTTAGATTAATGTGGGGCATTTTTTTTAAACAAACTTACATATATAGCCCTATATAAATAGTACAAAGCTGTGCACAATACTGACTTGGCTTCTGCTATCATTTATAAAAAAAATTCTACTTTATTTCCATTTTTTTTTTAGTGCCATACACCTACCCTGCAATAAACTAATTTTGAGCAATTTAAACTGTGCCTATGATAAGCAAAAATGCATAAATAGATATAAACTTTAATGAAAGGAGGATGTCATATCGATCAGTAGATTGATAGATCTTGACTGCTGAAGATATACTGTATGCAAATGTTGGCTTTTCCTGTAAAAGTCATGCTCGGTTTATCCCTCTCTTGCCCATAAGCCTCCTTTTTGGTTATTTAATGCTAACGTAGGTGGCAAGAGTGGAGCCGTTTAGAGGAAACAGTAAGATTTTACTTTTCTATTAGTTACTAGCTGCAGCTGTAAAGGCTGTGAGAAAGGAGAAGTGCAGTGTGTTTAGACTTCCTTTTTTCCCATATTCCATGTTTACCACACTTACTGACTGTGGTTCCTCCTGCCATCTCCTACATCCTGTAGGAATAGGTGGGAGGAACCAGAGTGCATGATGGTGTAGTGAGTATTGAACACACCCGGAAGTGTTGGATACCTGCAGCAGCCGGAGATCTGCATGTGTAAGTATTTCAAAATCACAGCATTTTACACCTGACATGTCTATGTTATTCATAATCATCATACATAGAGGGATGCATTGTAGGAATTTGATTTTTGAGTGTAAAGGTCTGCTTCAATTCCATTTTGTTTCCATTTTTTATTAGGTGCAATAATTGTAATTGTAAAGGAAAGTAGCAATTTATGCTATGATATTTATTTTAGATCCTCTAATAACATTTTTGAAGAAAGAAAATTACATTATAAGACACAGTATTTTATCTTTTAAGAACTGCTATGTGTGCTTGTCACAAGCCCACAATGTATGCTACAGACTGTGGAAAAATATACAGTGTATTTTAGGGATGCACCGATACAAGTATCGATATCGGTGCCGATTCCGAGTATTTGGCCGAGTACTTGTACTCTCCCAAAAGCTCCGATGCCTAGCACAAGTAGTTCCTATATCAGGAAGCCGGGCAGAGCATCATTACACGCTGCCCGTTTCCTGATTGGCCGGGAAGCGGCTCCATGCTCTCTCGGGAAGCTGGCCAATCAGGAAGCCAGGCGCCGTGTAATTACGCAGGGCCAGGCATTCTGATTGGCCAGGAAGCTGGCTTCATGCTCCCTCGTCATCTCATGACGAGGGAGCATGGAGCCGGCCAATCAGAAAGCAGGGTGTTGCGTCATTACACGGCGCCCGGCTTCCTGATTGGCCGGCCAGACGGCTCGCGCTGGGTACCGGAGGAAAGCCGCGTTCTGGATGGAAAGGCCCCGGGGGTGACAGGCTGGACATACCAAGGTAAGAGCGGACAGACTTTCTTGTAAACCAGGAAGCCGGGTGGCGGGTCTTTACACGCTGCCCCACTAATCAGGAAGCCAGGTGGCAAGTCATTACATGCCACCTGGCTTCCTGAATGGGACTTCCGTTACTCGGTAATTGGTATCGGCGAGTACCGGAAAAAAATTATCGGTGCTCGTACTCGGTACCAAAATACCGGTATCGGCGCATCCTTAGTGTATTTGCTAATCAGATTTGTAGACCTTAATCTGTTAATGACGTTGCTCAGTACAAAGGCATGCTTAGTGATCACTTTGTTCTTTTTAACATCGAAAAGTGTAAAGCAGTGACTGTGCACCTTAGTAACCGATTGCAGGGCTTTTAAAGTATCCATTGAACCAGATCCTGTTCATTTTAAAATCGCAGGACATAATCTCTAAGGGCCTGTTCACATGCGATCAGGTCCTGATCAGCAGACGTGGAGCTGCTGATGCAGTGCGTTATTGACACGTTTTCGGTCCGGATGCTGACAGTTCATTTTTTTAGCCAAGGGGCTGTCAGTATGCAGATTCAGCCTCTGAGGTCACTTCCGCCCTCTCGGAACATCTACTTCCCTTTGTGTATGTAAAGCTGGTGATCAGACATGTATCACATATTTGCAGGCATGTTGATGGTGCTGGCTATAGCAATCTGCAGAGAACGAGCCCGCAGGAAATGTCGTTATTGGGTACACCCAATCTTGAGGCTCTGGGACTCCAAGGGTCAATTCTGGAGTTTGTATGAGGATTTGCGAGGTCACCCGGATAAAAATGTTTCCTTTACTCGTATGTCCATGGCAAGGTAATGGGCATGCTCCAAATGTTTGCAGTTCATGTCGTTACCTCTACCCCAACCTGTCTGTCTATCGTTGATAACATCATAATAAGTGAAGCAAGAATACAATTTTTTTTTTCCTTAGCTGCATTGCGTTGCGTTTCTGTTCCGTTTGCATTGCGTTTCGTGCGCGTTCGTGCGTTTCGGACCGGAAAAAATGTGACATGCAGTATTTTTTCTGTCGTAAGCTGAACGGACTGCGCACGTGAGAACTGTAGCCCATAAAACACATAGGGATACATT